CACCCCCAGGTCCTTTTCCAAAAGGCAGCTTTCCAGCCACTCTTCCCCAAGCCTGTAGCGCTGCATGGGGTTGTTGTGGCCGAAGTGCAGGACCCGGCACTTGGCCTTGTTGAACCTCATACAATTGGCCTCGGCCCATCGATCCAGCCTGTCCAGGTCCCTCTGCAGAGCCTTCCTACCCTCGAGCAGATCAACACTCCCGCCCAACTTGGTGTCATCTGCAAACTTACTGAGGGTGCACTCAATCCCCTCATCCAGATCGTTGATAAAGATATTAAACAGAACTGGCCCCAGTACCGAGCCCTGGGGAACACCACGTGTGACCACTCTTTAAAACAAGAGTGAATGATCATGGATGAAAATAGCATTTACACAGTAGATTTTGTAGATCAGTGCAAATGGGGGATAATCTCAAATTTAAATTACTACAGGATACACAGAGAAAATCCATTTTCATGTACTTGATCCTCTGTAGTTCAGAGAAAGCAAAGACCAGGGTTGCCAGAAACGCCTTTGTTCAGTTACCTGCTGCAAACTCCTCAATAGTCATCAATGGGAAGCGGATAAGAGAAAGCGCTTTGCCCAGTACTTTCCGCTTGTTCTCTGGAATCACCTGAAGTTGCTGCCGTTGACACTCAGCCTCCGACCAGCGAACCACTGCATTAAACAAACGAACCTCCCGGATCCCCAGGGTATCCCTCTCCAGCACCGCAACCAGGGTGTCTGCAAGGCAGGACAGATAGTGACAACTTTAGGCACTAACCCAAATCACCCCATTTTACCTAGCCAGAAGTACCCTATGTACAGCCAAGGTGAGTAAAAAAGAAGCAACTGAAAAAACAGCATCTCCCAGAAGTGCTGCCCACAGCCTCTGAGTAAGATATATCTGCATATTCCATAAGCAAGTAACTCACCAGAGCAGCAAACAGTGTCCAATTAATTGGCACGTTAATGGAAGTGCAGCAGAACGAACTGCAACTTACTTGACATCAAATTTGGATGAAGCAAGCAGCATGAAAGCCAGAAGGTTACCCGTGCCTTACCTCTATAGTCCATCTCATTAGAAGAAGGTTAAAGTCTGAATTTTAATGTTTATTAACTGTGCCCAGCAAGTTTGGAAACTGCATACGATAATTAAAATAGCCGTTCTTGCTTCCAAAAACGCAACACCTTTTTAACTCCCAAGCCTGACGAAGACCTAGGGAACAATGCCAACTCTACAAAAGAAGGCAAGTTACACCCACCCAAAACCTGCCAACATCAACAGAGGAAACAGGCTTTGTATCATGCCCAGAAAACCCAAGCTGCACCAAAGTAAGCAGATTCCAGGATATTTCTGCAAGCAAGCATGCTCTTTTGCAAATGCCTTGTCTCTAGCCACTTATTCAACAGATTGCTCCAGAACAGCAGAGCCACAAAAGAGAAGTGCCAAGTATTAACCTGTAATAACTTTAGAGGCTAGCTTGTTATGAAAGCATGTAGAGGGAGGAGGGAAAAAAGCTTACCCAGATCAATGTCTGTAAACCCCTCCGCATTGATGGCATCTGATGTGTTCTTGTCTATGTTCTCCAGGCAAAGGCTGGCCAGCTGAGGCTCATCAAAAAGTCTTGCCTAGTAATGAAGAAGCAGTCGTTAACACAAAAGATATTTTAAAGTTTACACTAAGTAAGGACCCCCCCTTCTCTCCCAGAGCCCATCTTCATTAGCAATACTATGCCTGACTGCATCATGAATTCAGTGGGCTGCAGCAGTCTTTCACAAGCAGTTAAGCATGACAAGGCAAGCACTAGAAAAATCTGCATTTGGCATCAGTTCTGTTTTAGCTGTGCATGTCTTCAGGCACGTCTTTGTTTTAACATCACATCGGTTAACGCGGCTGTAGTGCTTTCTAGCGCCATACTGACCATGTCAGCTGAGCGTGGGTAATTTTTACTGCATCATTTTTATATTTAGAAGAAAGCTTTGCCCAATGACTCCTGGCCTGCTTGCTCTAGGAATATGCAGAGACAGCTTATTCTGTAAGAACATAGGCACGCTGATCTCACGTATTAGCAAAAATGCCTTAGCAGGCACACTGCTTGTGTCCCAGGGAGATGTGCAAAACCCTGTGGGGTACGCAGCCTGCTTAGTGCATTTGCATGTTTTGCCCAGAAACAGCTACTCTAATCTAGTTACCTTAAAGAATTCCCCCCGAAGTAGGTTACTATTCCAAACAAAGCCTGCACACAGCTTGGAGAGTTGCTCAGAATCTCTCTGCCCAACTTAAGTGCAGTCTCGTAACAATTTCACTACCGCTTCAGATCCCCCTAGACCACCAAGACATCTTACCAACCCTGTGCCTAGCATAAGCAGAAATGAGGTAGGAACACGCAAAAGTCACTGAGATGACCTCTTATTTCCAAAGCTTTGGTTTTGCTATTTAGGAAGGAACCGCCTTAACATCACACCTAACATTAGCGCAAGAGTACACTGGGACTTGAACTCACTGCCACAGGTAAGGTTTAAAAATTGTGTTTTGGGCTGGGAATTCAGTCACTCACAGAGGCTAGCATTATCGAGCATCTTCTGCTTCACCCTTGCTCACGGGCTGTAGAGCTCAGCAAGGCCAACCTTCAACGCTGAGACCTCAAGTGCAGGGAGCTGAAACAACTCTCCATTTTCTCAGGGACCGGGGAAGCTTCAGCAGTCGTCACCTGCTCCTGGGGCTGGAGGATTGCCAGTGCCTTGCGCTCTTGGCATCCAAGAGCTGTGACTGACTCAGACTTTACTACTGTAGCGGCTCTCTTTTGACACGTGAAGGACTTACATTACACTTGCAGAGTTCTCCCCCACAGCGGCTTTAGGTAAGCTATTATTTCCTTGTTGATCAAAGTGACATATGCATGTACGTCTGGCATGAAAGAGGATCACTGTTCACTATGAGGCACAATCAATTAGGAGAGCTATTTGCCACCAGAGATTAGCAGTTGCGTGAAACGCTGTCTATGACATAGTTGCTGGACCAGCAGGATTCAGCAATGATACACGCAGAGGAGGTTTGGGGCTCTACAATCTTAGGTTCACCATCTTAAGCCTGTTGGGAAATGTTTTGTACAAGATGTATCTCAGGTCTGTAATTGACTGTACAAATTGTCAATTTGTTGCAGTAAAAGCAGAAAACAGAGGCCGATGTTCACATTGAAGGACCAGAACCAAGAGCACTTTGAGAACAGATCCATTAAGTCAGGTGCCTCGCGCAGCCAGTCATTGAGATACTGATACATTTCTCAAAAACACCAGCCTCAAACATTTTAGAGACTTGATATACTCCAGTAGTGAACATAAACTAGATATGAATCACCACTGATAATTACTCGTAATGGATAAGCCACAAACAAAAGGAACCAGGAAAGCCTGTCTCCATCTGGCATTTCAGCTGCCCCAGTACAGCTGACAGAGTGCCAGGCAGTATCTTGGTTTTGATATCTGAAAAACTAGGACACCTTCCTCTTTTGCCAAAGAAGGACCTTTGTGACTTGTAAGGAAGTCACCATGAACCTGAATGTTACCTTGCCAAAGCTGCGAAGTCAGGTTGCAGAGACTTAGCATGCCGCAAAAATCCCTGCATAAAGAATACCACCAAAAAGCTGACACCTCTAATCCTCATGAAGTGATGGCTAGCGTAAGATGCCTCTTCAAAACTGCAGCCTACGGGAAAGATCTCTTCTCAGCTCTTGGATAAGAGCTCCTGATCTTTCAGATTGCAAGCTGCTGAACCCAAAGAACGGGAGAGCTGCTGCCAAAGAGTTACAATTGTCCTACCATGCATCAGATGGGAGCGCAGATTTGGCTACCATCACCCAAGCAAGAATCTTTAAGTCCTGAATCTTCCCCAGGGAAGTGCAGTGTGGTTCCCCCCATGTCTCAGAGGCTGCCTTGCCCGTTTATGGCATGTGGAAGAGGGCCAAGTTAACAAGGGGATGCGTAAAGAGGGACACGGTATTTTGCAGCAATAGCTGAATCCTAGCAGTGCAGAGTGTCTACAACAGCAATGTAACATGGAACTACTTTGAGAACTTGATCCAACTATTATACTCAAATAAAATCCCTGCCTCATCGCAGCAAAGAAGCAAAGAGCTCAGCAGTGACTGCCTCAGGCCAACACTGCTTTAGAGCAACACTGCTTCAATTTCTGCAAAAACTGCTGGTGTAGACACTGCCACCGATGCGGTAACTACAGTCAGAGCCTGAAAGACGCTTGTACTCCTGACAAGGAGGAAAAAAGCCAGCAGACAGATACGTTGGGCAAGACAAGACAACCCCTCAGAGCCAGACCGCCTTAGTGCACTGGTTCCCAAGTCAGGGCAGCTGTGAAAACTCCTCTGCAAGGTTTGTTTAACATCAGAAATCACGGCAGCTTCCCTGAGCTAGCTGCTCAGAAATATTCCTCCAGAGCTAGCCAAAAGTATGGCCATTCCCTAAAGGAAAGAAACTCGCACACACAATGCCTATTTGTTTCTTGTTCCTACACCACCCAGAACAGGGTGTCCCTGGCAATGCTACAGACACTGCAACGCACAGGTGACAGCACTGCAGAAGTCACTGATGTCATCAGCTGTCAGTAGAGAGGGTGGCAGGGACCAGAAAGAGAAGATGGGGCTAGGAAATGGGAAGGATAGTGATGCTAATTTAATCAACCTGCATGCAAAGTCTGATCTTCTCCAAAATAAGCAGAAGTTGTAAACACTGTCTTCTAGTTCGCTGCTTAGAAGAGTCAAATGGAAGATGGAGGAGTCCAACCTTCACAGATCGGATCAGAGGGGCACAAGGATGCGCAAACGGCCTCATAAAGAGTCAAGAAACACAGCTGCACTGAAACTCCAGGTTTGCGTGCCTTCAGTACAGCGGGAGGGTGAGCTGGAACAGGCTGAGGAAGAGATCACTTTGCTCCTCTCCTAGGAAAATAAACCGAAGCACTCATGAAAAAGTTGCATTTTCTGTCTTTCACCCCCGTTTCAGGGAAACTATTGCAAAAACAGTTCTTCAAAGAACGTCTGACCAGCTAGATGCAGCAAGCTTTGCACAGAGAAAGCTTATTACACCAGTCCTGAATCTGAACAAGCGAAAATCCTCTCATTTCACTTTTCTTCTTGGCAGATGAAATTTTTCCACCCTGTTAATTTCTTCCCCAGATCACACTCTGGAAGGAATCGCCTGCCACACCGAAACAGAAAGCAGATCTGAAATGGCAGCAACATTTGCTGTATTTTATTGTTCTTTGTAAGAACTTGCTCATCAGCACTAGACTCCTGTAAGGAAGAATTCAAAATGACACAGAACTGCTCCATTTTGGATGATCAACTCCGCAACGCTCAGAAAACTTCTGTTTTCCTACTGAGATGGACCTTGCTCAAAAGACTTAACACAAACGATTGCAAACTCACCTGTGTTAACAGCATGAATGCATTGTCTGCTCGGAGGTTTTTTTTAAGAAACTCCACACAATGAGCTTCAAGGGCTGGAACTGCATATTTTTTAGCTGTGTAAAGCGTTGTCATAACAGTCTCTGGTCCAATCTGAACTTCGTCTGAATAAAGGAATCTGAAAGCATGCAAACAAACATTGCTCTGGTGAAGCCAATAAGGTAACAGGGTAAAAACCCTTGCAACTCATAAAAAACACGTTTGTGCTTCTGCCCATCATCCTGGCCCCATTTCCTATACTTGAGAGATGGAAGGGTTTTCACATCCTTTCCACTGACTGTGGTTTACAAAGAGAAGCTCTTTTTTTTTTTTTAAAAACCACGCTCTTTACAGTGTAACTTTTCATGAATGAAATAGCTGGGATATCTGCTGAAGCACTTTGAACTGCCTAGCATCCCACAACCAGCGAGCTGTTTAGCCTCCCACTTACGCTAGGCTAGAACAGTCTCTGGCCAAGTGCACCCCTTAAAATTAACATTTTTGGCTGTTCAATTAGACTAAACAAAGACAAAAATTCAATCCTGCCTGCCTACTTCAGAAGGGAAGCTCCATTTTATATACTAATTCAAAAGTGACCAGAAGCACTCAAACATATACATCCACTGCAGGTGAGGTGTTTTATCCATACCCCACTTTCCCCTCATCTCTTCACTTTATATACCGAACTGTTTAATTTCATTATACATATAACATTCAGATGTTAAAGTACAGCACACAATATAACTTCAGCATAAAGCAAGAGTTAATTGCAATGAAAAACAAGGACTGCCACGCTGCTAGCAAAGCATCAGCCTTCACTGTTAGGCCAAAACAAGGAAGTACATTCATACCGCATGGAAAAACAAAGGTCTTCGTAGGAAGCCTGACCGAGCCTCCTCATACCCAAGCATGCTGATTAGAGACAACAGGAACTGGCAGGCTGAGTTCAGTAAAACCAGTTACACACTTGATGTTAGTCCTAATCCCATGCAGCGTTTTTGTTTACTGTTTTTCCTTTAACCAGTCGAGCATTCGCCAATCAGGCTCTGAAAGGCACGAAGCACAGAGGCGTAACATTAAATGTGTTAACTGGGCTTAGCGTTCCTATTCCACGGGATATTTTGGAAACTCCAGCAATTTCTTCTCCGGCATTTCTCTGAATGGGGCACAGCAACACGGCGCATGGCCGCTATTCCTGGAGGCTTCACACAGCAGCAGGGCTCTTCTAGGGGGATGGCAGGCAGCATCCCCACCTGGAGGGACTTGCTGCAGAGCAGCAGTGGAGCTCCTGGTCCTCTAGCTAGAGAGGGCCAGGATGCAATTCAGGGAAGCATAAACAGGGGGATTCAGAGGAAGGGAAGCACTCTCATTGCTGTTGAAAGCAGGCTTTTGTGCTGCTCTAGAGCATCTGTTAATAACAGCATCAAGCCACAGGCTCATGAATGTATTTTGCACACATCCCTTCACCAGTCCTGTTTTCACTAAGTAATCCTTTTTATTACAAGATTAAAAGAACACAGTTGCTCTAAAAACAACTAGTTCTATTTACTTCAATTACTATGTTAGTATTTATTTTAACAATAGTCCAAACAGTGCACGCTAAGAGGGATAACAAGAGAGGCTCAAACTGTGAAAAAGCATAGTATCAATTTAAAAGAAGATTTAGATTATAATCCCAGACAATCAAAAATGTTCTTTGGGTTACCATGAAAATAGTAATAATAAAAAAGGATCTCTCGTGCAATTACAGCAGACCTATTAAAGGCCACCAGCCCACAATCACAATCTAGTGTCCAGAAGGGACCTTCTGCTGAACATTCACGATGGGCACTTTGTCCCTTGATAAGCTCCTGATCCTACAGCATTAGGTCATGGCTTGGACCAAGTCCAGAGACATATGTAAGAATCAGCTGCCATTTTAGATCAGTGTTTGGAGGGACTGGTTTTACTCTAGGAAGGTTTATACCACATACTTGGTAAGCTTCCTACTGGAACGCAGCACCCAAACTTCCTTTGGCATATTTAAGCTCTGAGCATTTTAAAAGCGACAGTTTGATTCTAGATTTAAGCATCTAAGATATCACTGTAGCACACAGCTACTGCAGCATAACTGCAAGCTTTAGAGGCACTGTGATAATCCACACACAATTTGTCCTATACAAAATATAAACATTTCCGTTGAAATCCACCTAAACTCATCACTCCAGTCTTTTCAGATGATGGTTCTCTTCCAAGATCGTATTGTTTATACAAGTGCTGAAATCTCAGCACTGGCTGGGAAACAACACGACTTTGCCTCTAATTCACTCGATATTTTAGCCTCACTAAGTTTCAAAGATAGATACTAACTCTGCACTCCAGAGAGATCTACCTGGCTGATAGAGAGTCATACGCCAATTAGAGGGATTCCCCATGTGCTAGTGTCTGGTTTAAAACGAGCCAAAGGGGAGGGGGCATGGGGCTCCCTATTATTTCTGGCCTTTCACTCTAGTGAAGATCAATTTTAAAATCTTCTAAGATAGCACAGTCAAGACCAAAGCACTTTTTGAAGGTAAAGCAAAAAGTGTGCCAAAGCTATATATAGTCATTGTTCCCAATAGGAAGCAAGCGGGGAACATGTCAAGAGCACAGGACTGGAAACCCCTGGAAGTAGGTTACAGAAATCCTATGGAAATGGGACAATGACTTTTCAGCATACATTCAGGATTGCTGCTGGATGTTATACAGCACCAGCCGAGCTTAAAGAAATCAGTGAATAGGATGTTACAGCCCCTTCCTCCTCCTTCCCCCAGCATGCAGACTTACAACGCATGCTGTAAATGTAAATTCAAAACCAGCTCTCCAAAAGGGGAATAAAACACGCAGAAGGGGAGATACCATACAGAACGGCTGACACTGATTTCACACCCTTGCTTACCTGTTATAACTTGCTCATTTTCCCATAAGCTAATTGACCTCCAAGTATTTGTAACTTACAGAGCTTTAAGAGGATTACTTTTCCCCACTTCTCTCAAATAGCCTTTGAATCAAATCAAACCAATTCACGAACGAGAATTTGTGAGACTACGTCTGAACAGGTGAGTTGATACTTAACCACAAGGGCCAGCACGTGCACTTATTCCAGTTGCTAACCAGAACACCTCCCTATTGCTGCATTTGCATGGTGTAGCTACATATAACTACATATTTACGAAGTTATCAACTATCCAGTTTAGTTTTGCCCATACTGCAGATCATCAGCAGGAGGGCATATATTTAACTACTGCTAAACCAAAACACGGAGCAAGTCAGATATTCTTGTGCAGTAGCTACACTAGACTTTTACCCAGGAAAAGAGGGATTTAACACCAGCATTTAAACGCCCTTGAACAGATCAACAAAGAGGCATTTTATTTAGAAACTTAACAATCTCCACTCTACAAAATGGTTCACTGCTTTCATTGAAAATATCCTTCTCTACAATAAATCTGTTCATTCCAGTTATACTGTACATAAGAAGCAGCTTACTTCAGCAGAGCTAGGAAGGCAGCAGGCTCCACATCAGGCAGCTCAATCTCTGTAGAAGTTGTGGCCATTCCACCATTAAACATCGCATCGAAGACTGCGCTGCCCACAGCCAGCACAAACCTAACGTTAAAAAGCAAACAAGCAAGAAAACCTTATGTTAAATCATATTCACTTTCAAAAAAAAATCCCAGGCTAGCCGCTATTCCCCAAGGCCACCCCCAGGGAAAGCAAATTGTTCCCAGCGTTAAAGCAAAAATGTTTTGCAATAGAAGGGAGTGTCAGGCTTTCTGTTCGTTTACTGCAAAAACACCAAAGTTGCAAGCAACTTCATTTTGAGCCCTGTCCCAGCATACAACATAGTAATGGTTCCCCAAAGACAACATTTTGTGCATCACGGAACAAAATATACGTGGCTGCTTTGCAAAGTCCTTGTAGGAGCCTATGGACCAGTCACAAGGTTGAGAAGCTAAGAAACAACGAAGTTAAGGAATTCAAGTTATTCCAGTGAACAGAGCCCCAGTCTTGACGCAATTACCCCCAGTCACACACTGAAAACACTTACAGAAAACTTGTCACTACTCACTACCCATCCTCCTCCCTTCTCCCCAGACGCCAGGAGGACACCCTTGGTGACAGCAGAGCAAGCTCTCAAAACATGCAAATTGCACCGGCAGCATCACCGGGAGCTGCGGACACCAGCACCTCCTGCAGCACCCAGCATGGGAGCTGCCTCCCCCGGGCACGCTGCCGTCTTCTTCAACGCAAAACCTGCTTTGGGCTTAGCCTAGAAGGCAGAGAAAACCTCACTTGAAGCAAACTAGCACCGTTAGGTGCACACAAACCCTTTTCACACTGCTGTGAATTTACGTGGTAATTAACGGCGAGAGGCATGTTATTGTCCCTAAAGAAATAGGAAGCAAGAATTCCCACAAACCAGGTTTGAGACTGAAAATAATATTCCAGCACTCCCATGTAAACAAGATGACTTCCCTCACTGATAAACACCAACTCCTGTTTTAGGAGGAGGCACAGACCTGCCTGCTGAGAGGCCTGTGTATATGTAAGCTGCTGTACCTGCCTTATGCCTTAGAAAAGCCATCTTGAGAACTTCCATTGTTTGGAAATGCAGAGACGAGTGTTTCCCAGGAAAAGCAACCTCATTCCTGGTGTCTGCAATCAAGCAGCTCCCTGAAGTTAAATACAGCACAGGCCACAAAGGTCACAGCTCAGCAGCGTGGGGAAGCAGAGGAGACCAGGCTGCAGAAGAGATTACTGCAACCACTTCTCCAACCGACCGTAGAAAGGAAGAAGCTGGAAAATTCAGGGGCTCTCGCTGCAGCACAGTTTGACGCACGCTTCGACAGAGACAAGCATCAAGAACTGCAGGCAGAAAACCGTTCAGGACAGAAGGCACAAGACAGAAACCTCCAGTGCTCAGACCCCACAGAAAGCCCATCGCTAAAGGGGAATTTCAGTTAGGTTTTGCTGCAGTAGGAAGTGATACAGAAGCTTTTTTCTTTTAAACAAATTTTTTCATTTTCTCGCTTTTCACTCCCCTCCCATCCAGAGGAGGCCTTCCACGGACACAATACAGCGAAGTGCCGTGGATGTGCCAGGCTTGTTTGCCATGACGGACTGTTTGGCTGACAAGCCGGGTTGTATTGTTTCTGATCGGTTAAGAGAGTTAGGGGCAAACCACAGCGGTTAAAAAAAAAAAAGTACACACATGCATATTTTATCAAACAATTCTGCAGAAAAATGTCAAGAACAAATAAAAAACCTTGTTCACAATACTAGAATTGCCAAATGAAAAAAAAAAAAATATCCTTGTTCCTAATACTAGAATTGCCAAATAAAACAAAAATCCTTGTTCCTACAAAAGCAGTGATGGGGGCAAGACAATCGCAGGCATTATTTGCCACTAAAAATTAACATAAATTAACTGCACTCTAAAATTTTCATTCTCACAGCCAGCACAGTCTACATCCTCAGTGAGCAGACAGCCTCTGGAAGCAATTTGAAAAAGGGCATTAATTAAAAAAACTCTCAAATTTTTGCTTCCATTTCACTCAGGGACAAATCAATCTGTTTTTTTTTAAACTGCTGAGCCCTAAAGTGATCCCAGTAGGTGCCCAGAGAGCTACACAGGACTCTGATCTTAAGTTCTCTTAAAACATTAAGGGAACACAACATAAGAAAATCCCTCTCTCTTCATGGTGTCTTCTTACTTTTGCCAAAATTAACACTTAAAGCTATTCTAAAGACACCCCAGAAAAAGCAGGGACATGCACCATTTCTCCTACACAGTTCAACAGTTTTCCCCGACTGCTCAGGTCTGCGAAAGGAAGAGATGGGGTTTGTTTCAGATAACTATTGAGCCAAACTGGCAGAGTAATAGGGCTTTCTTTTGTTTTCCCCTCCTATTTTCCGAAGCACCGTAGCGACCAGCGCACAGCAAGCCTCTCTCCTAACCCCAAGGAGCGCTGCCCGATGCAAACGTGCAGCTCTCAAAAGGGAAATGCAGGTACCCTAAGCTCAGCGTAGTGACCCACCTTTGTCAGAGGAAGAATTCAAACAGAGGGTTATTTTTAAACAACAGCATGGTGGCCAAAACAAAGTGGACTGCTGAAAGGATGCAGAGAAGTGATCAGAAGCAGAGCAAAAGAACCAAGAAAGCCACACTTGATTTCTCGTCATTCCCTCTGCACATGTAAGAATCAAAGTAACCTGACTTTCAGCAATAAGAGTCACAGGAACTTCCATGAGGTTAATCATTTGATTTGTCTTCACGAGGATCCAAAGTTGACTCTGAAGGCTTTTGAAGGCCTGCAAGAAAATGTCTTTCATTCTGCTACTTATAGCTTCCTACCCACCAATTTTCACTGCTTCCTTGTTCACCTTGGCAACTCCACCTGCCACCTAGTTTAATTTGTATACCCAACAGTCCTGCTCCCTTTCTAGGCACTACGGTAATATCAATAATAAAATAAACCACTCAAGAACCATGACTATCCCACCACTGCATACCACCTCCCTCCTCCATCCGCTCCACTGTGGAGAAATCTTAAAATATCTATTCCAGAAGAGCTGGCACAGGAACAGAGCAACGCGTGATGTGCTGGAGCTTGGTGAAACTGTAGGTGACAAGAAGCTAATGAATGATGATCGTTTGCTGGCTGCATCCTTCCAGCTCAAGGACTAGAGACACCAGGCGAAATGAGCAGGAGGCAGGTTCAAAAACCCCCAGGAGAAGCCCTTCACACGCAACCCCAGGAGCTGAGCCGTGGGACACCTCGGCACATGGCACTGCAGGTACTACAAGTTAATATGCATCCAAGAAAAGACAGGATGAGATTAGAAGAGAGACACCTGGAAACAGCAGCCAAAAACCTACTCAGACTGTCCCCAAGCTGCAGATCTCCCAGGCTGGAGTATACACAGGGGGGTGTCACCACACACTTGCCCTGTTCCCTTTTGGGCCATGTTTTCTGGCCAATTAACAAGCTTAATTATCACAGCCATGCAGCTCCTGGCTGATGAGGTTTAGATGGTTCTAATCTCATTGATGTTGTGCTCGATGAAGCAGATCTGGAAAAAGACAAAAAAAGAAACCCTTCCCTCTTACTGCTGGGCCTAATCAACGTGTTGACCTTGGCCACGTTAGCATCATGAAGCTTCGAGGCAGCTTGCTCGGTCCAGCCTTGACATCAAAAAAAACTTAAGGCCGTTCCATCTTCTTCATGGCTGCTTCAGCAGCAAGAGGGAACGAGCTCAAGGCTCAGAGATCGAGCTTGCTCAAGGGTAGGCAAGCAACTTCCACAGGGTCTGGAGCCTCCTAAAGGCAGAAAACGCCTGACCTTCTCAGGGCTGCAGATGCTTCACAGGACAGATGCTTGGACAGATGCACCTTCAGTCGAACCCAGCACAGCCACTTACGCCATTTATCTACAAACACAGCTTTCACACACAAAACGTATGTTTGCTCTTAGTTGCTATGCGAGATATCTATTGTCTGCTTCTACAGCTTTATACGAGCTGCTGAACTTGCCAGACTCTCTTAGAAGCACACCTGAACCTACAGCTGTGTCATGCTCAGAAACCTCCTCCCTGCACCACCACCACTACCACCCATGGAGGATGTCACCTGCGATCACTCAGCATATATGCCATTTAACTACCTCAGCCTACAAATACACCACCTCTGCTCTGCTCGTTCCTGGAGGAGCTTGACCAGGGAGCAGCTGCACTATCACCTCCAGCTACTGCAGGACTGCAAGACTCAGATTATTTGTGCTAACCAGTTTGCTGCCAAAGGCGGCAATTTCTAATGCACCATGCAGCCATATCAAAGATGACAAGTAAGATATTGCAGACCACTCCTCAAGGCACAACTAGCTGCCGTCCAAGAACCCTATTTAGGATATGCTCCTACTGCAGCCACGCTTTATACCTGGCCCGGTCTGAAAATTAACACAATAAAACCAGACTGTAGAAGCAGTACACAGTTAACAGGTAAGTATTTCAGACACCTAGCATCAAAGTACGAACATCTGCCCTTGGTCGCTGAAGCAACACAGTGCCTCTCAAGTTAAATTCATGGTTGCTTTGCGACTCAATTCCAGTGCAAAATATCTTCTGCTGTCAGGCTGCTGTGGGAGAACTGAGCACAGAAGGGGTCTGGGTGGTTTTATTTTAAGCTCTCTGTTTCTGAAATAACCACGGTACTTCATGATTCATCAGGATATCCCAACTGTAATATCATACAGGCAAGTTTTACTAAAATCTATATAATCCTTAAGTGGGATGTCATGGCATGACACATTCTATTCTATCTTTACCACCCAGAGCACCAGATGGATTTCAGAGCAATTAAGCAGCATTTCACTTTGGGGCTATTTTTTTTAAAGCTTCATTTATTTTCCATTTATTTCTGGGCTGAACATTGCCCCTCCCCACCTAGCAAGCCTAGTTCTCAGAACAGGAACAAGCTTACTCAAATACTAATTAAGCTTCAAATTATAAAAGAACAGAACTGACACCCTAAGCACTCAAACCAGCCTAGAACAAGTGTGTTTCATTCGGAAAGCGAGAGAAAAAGGGAAATTTGAAGGGGAAA